GGAAAGGAAAGGAAAGGAAAGGAAAGGAAAGGAAAGGAAAGGAAAGGCCCTTCTTCTTGCTCTGTCTTCTCCAGGTATTCAGCGTCTACTTCAGCCCCAGAGAGAAGACAGATTTCCTCCTGACTGTCCTGGATGGACTGACCGACGCCTGCAATAATTTCTCTTTGGCAGCTACAGAGTCTCTTCTTGCCAGCATTGCAAGGACCTGCGGCCCAGAAATGGAAAAGGTAAATGAGACCCCCCAAAGCCTGGGGAAGTCCCTGGATCCATCGCTAGAGTCCCCTAACAGCACCTATTTCCAGGAGCTTTGCTTACTCAACTATCTTAAAGCTTTTAGAGATCTTCAGGACAACACATTTGAAAAACCACCTAGTGAGTTTTCCTTCATTCTTGAACAAAAGAAAAATTAATTGCTTCCTCCTCCTCCTCCCCCTGCCTCTCAAGGACAATCTCACTGATCATTACACCTTTTGGAGGAAGTTGAGTCTGAGGGAACAGGTGATTTCTTGCATGAGGGACAACTTTGCCTCTTCTTGAACCTTTCTCCCTCGTTGTCCTCTCAGATACCCGACATTATAGAAGGCATCTGCAGCCGTTTGAACCTGATCCCTCGGCCCAGCACCAGAAGACTGCTAATGAAGTTGGTGGGGTTGTTGGCAGGCAAGACTGAGCACTTAGATACCGTTATCTCAAGTCTTCTGGAACATTCCATCTCAACAGACAGGTGCCAAACACCTCCTTCCAGCCCTAGTACGAAAATTATAGCAATGATGTGTTTTATGGCAACTTCTGTTATTCCTCATTTGGGGCCTTAAGCCAGGATTTCCCAAATATGGCAATTTCCAGGGATGGAGACTTCAATTCCCAGAATTCCACAGCCTGTAGGGCCATTGAGGAGAATTCTGGAAGTTGAAGTCCACACACCTGGATAGTGCCAAGGTTGAGAAACAGTGCCTTAAGCCAACCCCAAGCATAAGGGTTGTCCACCTTCAGATGTATGGTTCTCATAACTCCCATAATTCCCAGCCCATGACATTCAGGAGTTGTGGGTTGGATGTATTTGGAGGACCCATCAGGAGAAAGCAAAATTAGACTGGGATTCAATCCACTCAGTATCTCTTTTGATGACCTTAACAAACCCAACCAATCAATTCTTCAATCAGAATGGAGCTGGAAGGGACCTTTGAGGTCTTCTAGTCCATCCCTTTGGTCAAGCAGGAGACCCTATGCCATTTCAGACAAATGCCTGTCCAGTCTCTTCTTAAAAACCTCCAGTGATGGAGCACCCAAAACCTCTGGTGGCAAATTGTTCCACTGATGAATTGTCCTGTTAGGAAGTTTCTCTTGAATTCCAGGTTGCTTCTCTCCTTGGTTAGTTTCCACCCAAGTCAGGGGGGTACATGTCCCATCACAACCCATACATGTAATTTGAGTCACTAGTATGTTATTGCTGGTTTCAGACATGTTTGTTTTGTCCCCAACCACACACACACACACACACCAACAGACGTTCAAGAGTTAAAGACCAAACCAGCCGGCAAAATCCTTTTCCTTATGATAAATAAGGAACTTGGCAACAACCTAGTGGCTGGCTGCCAAGAGTTTATTATTTACAAAGAGGAGAGATAACTTCTCCCCACTTCTGGTACATCAAAAGAAACAGCTCAATAATTACAGAGTCAATCAAGTCCAGAGATAATCCAGCAAAGTCTATAGCCAAAAGTCTGGCAATGCAGAATGGCATGGAAGCTTTCAGCTTTGTTCGTCACAAGGTTTGACTGGCCACCACGCCCCCTTTTATACCCTGTGGGGTGTGGTCCAGTGACTCAGCCTAATCTCGGGCACGCCTTTTCTTCTGTTGCGTGCGCTTATCTCTGTGACGCTGGCGTGGATCCAGCCAAGACTCATTACCCTCATCACTGTCCACCTGTGGCTGCGTGGACGTGCTTGGCCCTGGCCCTATCTCTTGCCCTTCGGCGGACACCGAAGACATTGCCAGAGAGGAGGGTCCTGGAGAGGGAGGCCTTGCCAACTCCTCTCCTTCACTCTCGGAGTCCTCTCCTGCCGATGACACAGGCTCAGGTAACGGAGCCACAACAATGTTAAACCCAGGTTACGGGGGCAGGGGGCACAACATAATTGAGTTTTCTTAATATGGGCATTATATTAAGCACTTATATTAAGTATCTATATTACTATATGTCTAATGTCTATGTGTATTTACCCATGTAGTATGGCTGTAGTATTATTATTTGTCATTCTTATCATCTTCTTTATTCCTCCCTCTTAATATTATGATTATTATTATTCTGATAATCTACTGCATGTACACCAGAGACGAATTCCTTGTGTATCTAATCATACTTGGCTAAATTCAATTCAATTCAATATTATAAGCTACTTGTCCTTCAAAACAATGTGTAGGTTGAGTTCATACAATATGCTAGTCTAAGCCATTATGAGACCAGATAGCTAATGCTGGTGAGAACCTGAACATTTTCTTAGCATGTTGTGTGAACTATTCCAGCATCATAAGCTATTTTTTTAGTAGCTTAAAAAAAACCAGGTTCGTTGGTCACATCCATCTACTGGGAGGGACGTGAGTGATGTGCTCTTTAAGGAGAGAGAGACCAAGTTCTAACCAACATTCAACTTTGGCCATTCCTTCAACCTTCCTCCCATTTGCAGCAGTCCATCTGAGCTATGGCGCTCTCTTTCGTCTGAGGAAATGATTGAAGAACAACTTCTGGAGAACTTGCTTACCAGGCTGCAGAGCCAACATAAGATGGAGCTGCAACCACCTTCTCTATCCATCTCTGTGAGTTGGACCTTGCCTTTCTCTCAGGGACAGCTGAGGTCTAAGTCCTGGTTTCATTGAGAGAGTCCATCAGTTGGGCTTACTTTGGGCCAAATTCAGGGTCACAGAAATGGTTGGCCGACCTTTGACTTGTCCTCCCCTTCTACTAGTGGACAACCACTTGGTTTGAGAGTGCGGGCTGATGGGTAAAATGGGTTGGGTCAGCTTCAAACAATATACTTGCTATTTGTCTCTCTGGCCATTAGATGGAGCAAGAGAGCAACAACAGTATATAAAGATCGTATGTTGGGGGCATATTTGTCCCTCCGGCCACTAGATGGAGCAAGAGAGCAACAACAGTATATAAAGATCGTATGTTGGGGGCATATTTATCCCTCCGGCCACTAGATGGAGCAAGAGAGCAACAACAGTATATAAAAGTTATATGCTGGGGCATGACAGTCCCTTCCAGCGCTATTCTGATTGCCCTGCAAAGGTAGACTGGATCTTGCTCTCAAAGCCCCCTCCACCCCTTTCCTTCTCCCCCTCCACCCCCTCCGCATCCCCCTGCAGTTGACCCAGGCTCTCTACGAGGTGATCTCCGTCCTGGAATCCAGGGACACCATCCAAGGCCTTTTTCCAGAGCTCCTGATGACCTTCCTTGTGGAGCTCCATTTCAGCAGCCAGAGGGACTCCCTGCCAGATGTGGACTTCCTCCAGCAGTGTGGACAGGTCAAAGGTCAAGTCAGGTGCAGCTTCATAGAAAAAACTCGTCATCTCCCCATCCCCCCCCCCAACCTTTTTGACATTACAGGTAGTCCTCGAATTGCAGCCGTTTGTTTAGTGGCCGTTCCAAGTTAAATCGGTAGTGGAAAAAGGGATTTAGGAATGTTTTTCACACTTATGACCAGTGTGGGATTCAGCCAGTTCACACCTATTTGGGAGAACCAGTTGTTAACTTTCTAAGCAGTTCAGAGAACCAGTTGTTGGAAGAAATCTTATTTTGTTTTTTTTCTACTTTACAGGGCTAATCCTGTAAGGAACTGAAACATTCTGGTGTTGTTTCTAGCCTAATCTTTATTGCCCTGCTTACAGAAACTGCCTCTCCAGTTAACCCTTATTACATTGTAACAGTAAGTGACATTGAGTTGGCCACGCCAATATGGTCACGTGACCAATGAGCCACACCTACCCAGCTGGTCATTAGGGCAGAGAACTGGTTGTTAAATTATTTGAATCCCACCACTGCTTATGACCCTGTGGAGATGTGATCAAAATGCAGACGTCTGGCAACTGATTCATATTTATGACGGTTGCAACTTTATGTGATTTACATTTGGCAATTGATTCATATTTATGATGGTTGCAGAGTCCCGGGGTCGACTTTCTGACAAGCACAGTCAACGGGGAAGCCAGATTCACTTAACGGCCATGTGACTAACTTAACAATGGCAGTGATTCACTTAACAACTGGGGCGAGAGAAGTCGTAGAAGTGGCCAAAACTCACTGAATGACTGTCTCTCTTCTTAGCAATGGAAATTTTGGCAACATTGTGGTCGTAAGTCAAGGACTGCTATACAGGTAGTCCTCGACTTACGATCACGACTGACCCCAACATTTATTTTGCTACCTGAGAAATTTCTTAAGTAAATTTTGCCCCATTTTGCAACTTTTCTTGCCACATTTGTTAAATGAATCGCTGAAGTCATTAAGTTAGTAAGATGGTTATTAAGTGAATCCGGCTTCCCCATTGACTTTGCTCGTCAGAAGGTCGCAAAAGGGGACATATAACCCCAGGGATGCTGCAACTGTCATAAATGTGAGTCAGTGGCCAAGCATCTGAATATAAATCATGCAGCCATGAGGCTGCTGCAATGGTCATAAGTGTGAAAAATGGCCCTAAGTCCTAACTTTTTTTCAGTGCCGTTGTAACTCCAAACGGTCACTAAATGAAAATGGTTGTAAATCAAGGACTACCTGGATAAGAAAGAGCAAAGGGCAACAGGCCTGAGCGAGTCCTCCTCTCCCCACTCCTTCAGTTTTGCCGTGGAGGCCATCAAGATGCTCCTCATACGGATCGGATGCCGGTACGAGGTGACGTTCATGGAGAAGAAGCGGGATGGTCGATGCTACAATGCGGCAGGGAACTCCTGCAGGGCAGCGCCCTCCTGGCCAGGTGAGTTTGCTACAGAGAACACAGCCAAGGGGGTGCCGTTCACCTGTGATTATTCAGTTTAGAAGGTGGAAATCGCTCTTACGCCTGGTGGGGCAGCACCGTGGCTCAGCGGTTAAGACGCTGGGCTCGTCAGCTGCAAAGCCGGAAGCCCAAGTTCGAGACCCGAGCGTGATGCGATGGGTGAGCTCCCATCCTCAGCTCAGCTCCCGCCCTCCTAGCAGTTCGAAAGCATACAAATGTCGGTAGATCAATACAGGTAGTTCTCAGTTCATTTAGAGACTGTTTAAAGTTACAACAGCACTGAAAAAAGTGATTGATGATCATTTTTCGTACTTATGACTGTTGCAGTAGATCACGTGATCAAAATTCAGACACTGGGCAACTGATTCGTATTTATGACGGTTGCAATGTCCTGAGCTCATGTGATCACCTTTTGCAATCTTCTGGCCAGCAAAGTCAATGAGGAAGCCAGATTCACTGAATAACTGTGTTAGTAACTTAACAAGTGCAGTGATTCACTTAACAACTGTGGCAAGTAAGGTTGTAAAATGGGACAAGCATCACTTAACGACTGTCTCATTTGGCAACAAAGCTTTTGGGTTCAATTGTGGTCATAATACCTGTAATCACTTTCAGAAATTGCTTATTTAACTCTCTTAAGGCTTTTAGAGATCTTCAGAAAGACAAATTTGAAAAGCCACCTGGTGAGTTTTCCTTCATTCTTGAATAAAAGAAAAATTAATTGCTTTCTCCTCCTCCTCCTCCTCCTCCTCCTCCTCCTCCTCCTCCTCCTCCCCTCCTCCTCCTCCTCCTGTCTCTCAAGTACAGTCTCACTGACCATTACAATAGCAGAACTTTTTGGAGAAAGTTGAGTTTGAAGGATTTCTTGCATGAGGATCAGTCAGAGGACTACCTGTACAGATTATGTGCTAGAAAATGTGCTAGAGAACAAGCGTAAATATGCTTTTTTTCCCCAGGGTGGCAATGATGTCTTTCTGTATTTTTCAGAGCCATGCTGCATTTTTGCTGCCCTGAGATTATCAGGTCCTGGATTTGCTATTTTCTGTCCTCAGCAAAAACAGTGAAACACACAAGCCGACAATCATTGCCGTCTTTGTCGAGGTAAGGAGTGTGTGGGAAAAAATCAGGTGTGTGTGGTTTATAGTTTACTTTGCACCCAGCAGAGACATCCTCACAACCAACCCCACTATTCAGATCAGAACAAATACATAGATCGTTCAATTCAAGCTAGCAGAAATAAGCTTGATGTTTATTTACTAAACCTCAGCAAACATCGGAAAAGATTACCTGGCAAGAATTAAAATGGGCAAAGAATTTAATATTGAAAAATCTACATTACCTACCTCAGTTTCTCAATCTTGGGCACCCTCAGGTGTGTGGACTTCAGCTCCCAGAAATCCCCAGTCAACATGGTTGTTGCTGAGGATTCTGGGATTAAGATAAAGAATTCTCTTGACATCAATGTTGCAACCCTGAATGTGCCCTCCCTGCCCTTATCCCAAGAATTAGGGATGGTCCTATCTGAGGCACTTCCTCAAATTACCTTTCTGCTTTGGGTCAGATTTCTCTTATCCAAATGTCGCCTGGGCTACAGCTCTTCCTCAAGGTTATTCTCACGACCCCTTAGAGCAGGAGACATCTCCTGATTTCTTGGTTCCTCTCTTCTCTTCCTGTGAATTTTTTTCTGGCAATTTCCACATGGGGTTATCTGACTTCCTGTCACTTCTCTATCCGTCACTCTGGACTGATGGAGAATGGTGAAGAACGTCAAACCCTTCCATTACATTGGTGACCTTGTTTGAGTCTAGAACAAGGTCTCCAAACCTGGCAAGTTGAAGACTTGTGGACTTCAAACTCCCAGAATTCCAGGAGTTGAAGTCCACAAGCCTTAAAGTTGCCAATTTTGGAGACCGTAGTCTAGAGGGATGAGAAAAGATCTCCAGATCTTGTCTGTATGTTATACTCTTCTGGCATTTTCTTCTCCTTGCTCTGATTTTCCATTTCCCTCACCCAAATCCAACTCTGTCCTTCCCTAAAGAGTGATTTCATCTTTGAAGGCCAAAAGGATAGTTTGTTCTTGTGATATCTGGCTTTGAGAAGATGTTCTTCCATGGGAGACTACCAAAATAAATTTGGACCATATGAAGACATCTCTCGTCTATTGACAATTATGAACACGCTCCATCCTCCCGTTGCTCTTTTCCCAGAGAAACCTGATCCTCTCTCTCTCTCTCCCCTTCTGCCCCTCATGATGGATTCTTCATCTTGATCCTCAGCTACTTCACTATCAAGACATCGATCAGTTCCCCTCCGAACAGATCTTTGAGAGCCTTGAAGAATGGACCCAAAACCCCAGCCCAGATGTTCGGTCTCTTGCCGTGAGAGCCCTTGGCATCCTGGCCATCCATCCAGACAAGGTGAGGAAGCAGCCATAGGCTGGGAAGCGACCCCCAATTGTTGGGAGGGGTCTTGGATTCCAGTTTATGGATCCGATCTGGTCTTTGCACAAAGAGACCTGCCCACATTCATAAGTTGGTCTTCACTGTAGGTATAGGTGCCAGGGAAGGCTTGAGAAAGGACGTCAAAATAGTTGAGATGTTGAGAAGATCTTGAGATGTTTCTCCTAGCAAACCCAACCCCCAACATCTACATAACAAAGTAAAAAAATGTGACTTATGACCGGTTCTCACACTTACGAACATTGCAGCATCCCCAGAGTCAAAACACCTTGAGACGTTTGGCAACGGACTCATATTTATGACGGTTGCAGTGTCCCGGGGTCATGTGATCCCCTTTTGCGACCGTCAAGCAAACTCAACGGGGAAGCCAGATTCACTTCACAATCGTGTGACTACCTAACACTTGCAACTGATTCAGTTAGCAACGGTGGCAAGAGAAGTCGCAAAATGGATCAAAGCTCACGTCACAGCGGTCTTGATTAAGCAACAGAAAGCTGGGGCTGACTTGCGGTCATAAATTGAGGACTATGTCCATCCAGGGCTAGCTAAATTATTTATGTGTTGCGCGAAAGTTGAGAAAGTCACTCAGATTAAAGGGAGCGAGATGGGTGGATTGTTAGATAATTTGATAGTTAGATAAATCAACCAATAGAGGCACAGACGATGGTCAGCGCTTCCTGTTTGCAGGTGGAGGAAGTCAAAGTCTTGATGCCCACTCTCTTGGGAAGCCTGGAAGAAACGGACAATGGCGTCATCCTGGAAGCCATCACCGCCCTTCAAAACGTCCTGAAGTTCATGCAGAGAAGCGACGTCGTGACTCTGGCAGAGAAGCTCCTTCCGTTGTTTAGCACAGTAAGACCCTCCACCCAGGTGGATTCTCAAGAACTTCTTCCTGTGTGTCTCTCTCTCAACCTTGACCACTTTAAGAGGGGTGGGCTTCGACTCAATCGATCAGAACAGAGCGGGAAGGGACCTTGGAGGTCTTCTAGTCCAAACCTCTGCTCAAGGAGGAGACCCTAGACCCGTGATGGTGAACCTATGACACACGTGCCAGAGGTGGCACGCACAGCTCTCTCTGTGGGCATGTACACCATCGCCAGCTACTCTTTTGGCTTCCGGCGTGTTTTCTGGGCCATTTTCAGGCCTGAAAAACAGCCCAAAAACTGTCTGAAAATAGCCTGGAAAATGGCTTGAAAACGGCCCAAAAAACTGCCTGAAAATGGTCTGAAAAGGGCCTGAAAAATGGCCTGGAAATGGCCTGAAAAATACCCCCCAAACACCCAAAAATGTCCTGAAAAACAGCCCAAAAACGGCCTGAAAATAGCCTGAAAAACAGTCTGAAAATGGCCCGAAAAATGGCCTGAAAAACGGCCTGAAAATGCCCCAAAAATGGCCTCAAAAATGGCCCCAAAACAGCCAAAAAATTACCTGAAAAACGGCCCAAAAACTGCTTGAAAATAGCCTGAAAAATGGCCTGAAACATGGCCTGGAAATTGGCCTGAAAAATGGCCCAAAAGCAGCCTGAAAAATGGCCTGAAAATTGGCCTGAAAATCAGCCTGAAATCAGCCTGAAAAAACGGCCCAAAAATGGCCCCAAAACAGCCCAAAAATGGCCTGAAAAACAGCCCAAAACTGCTTGTAAATAGCCTGAAAAACAGCCAAAAAATGGCCTGAAAAACGGCCCAAAAACTGCTTGAAAATTGGCCTGAAAATCAGCCTGAAATCAGCCTGAAAAACAGCCCAAAAATGGCCCCAAAACAGCCAAAAAATGGCCTGAAAAACAGCCCAAAAACTGCTTGTAAATAGCCTGAAAAACAGCCAAAAAATGGCCTGAAAAACGGCCCAAAACTGCTTGAAAATTGGCCTGAAAATCAGCCTGAAATCAGCCTGAAAAATGGCCCAAAAATGGCCCCCAAACAGCCAAAAAATGGCCTGAAAAACAGTCCAAAAACTGCTTGTAAATAGCCTGAAAAACAGCCAAAAAATGGCCTGAAAAACGGTCCAAAAACTGCTTGTAAATAGCCCGAAAAACGGCCCGAAACATGGCCTGAAAATGGCCTGTAAAATGGCCTGAAAAATGGCCCAAAAGCAGCCCGAAAAATGGCCTGAAAATGGCCTGAAAATCAGCCTGAAATCAGCCTGAAAAACAGCCCAAAAAGTCCCGAAAAATGGCCTGAAAACGGCCTGAAAACAGCCCAGAAAACCGCCATAAATGGCCAAAAAGCAGCCATGCGTATGCCAGCCAGCTGGTCTTGGGGTTTCCGGTGATCCGGCGCGCCCATGCACGTGCGTGCACGAGGGTGTCAGTTTGGGCACTCAGTGCCGAAAAGGTTGGCCATCCCTGCCCTAGACCATTTCTGACAGTCTCTTCTTAAAAACCTCCGGTGATGAAGCACCCACAGCTTCTGGAGGCAACTTCTGTTCCGCGGTTTATTGTCCTCACTGTCAGGAAGTTTCTCCTTTAATTCCAGTTTTGCTGGCTGGGGAATTCTGGGAGTTGGAGTCCACCCATCTTAAGGTGACCAAATACTGTCCTCTTCCCAGTTCCGTGGCTCCTTGGGTCCTCTTTCCTCTGAAGTCTTCTCCTGTGAGTGGGTCTCCTTAAACTCATCTCCCCCACTAACCCCAGTAAAGGAGACATGGGTCAACAAACCATCATAAGACCCAGCTGCACAATGGATTGAAGCAATATTTATAACCAGGGCAACAGAAAGCAGATGCTCAACCATCTGCTGAAGAACATCGGGCAGAAATTGGGGTGGGCGCTGTTCCGTAGTGGGTTTCAATTTGGTTTGCTACGGGTTCACTCGTGCGTGCGTGCAACGCTTCTGCACATGTGCAGAAGCGTCTGGGTGGGTGGGCGGAGCCTTTGACCGCCGCCGCTACAGGTTCGCCCGATTTGGGGCGAACTGGTAGCAACCCACCAGTGGCACTGTTTCATGTAGAGTAAGTAAGCACACTACAAGCCATCCTCCCTGTGCAGAAACCATTTTACTAGAGAGTGAGAAATACAACAGGATCAGGCAATGCATCACAGGAACAATAGAGATGAACCCTAGAGTGGCAATGTGATAGGAAACAACTACAATAGAGAGGAATGATAGAGCTGCATATATGTAAACGCCTGTAACAAGCGCAACCGCTTTCCTTAAAACAGAGGTCTCCAACCTTGGCAACTTTAAGACTTGTGGACTTCAACTCCCAGAATTCCTCAGCCAGCCATGTTGGCTGGAGAGTTCTGGGAGTTGAAGTCCAGAAGTCTTAAATTCTGAGAGTTGAAGTCCACCCATCTTAAAGCGGTCACGGCTGAAAAACATTGTCCTCTTCCAGTTTTGTGGTTCCTTGGATCCTCTTTCCTCTGAAGTCTTCTCTGAGGTTAGGTCTCTTATTTATTTATTTTATTTATTTATTGCAATTTATATGCTGCCTTTCTCCCTAGGGACTCAAGGCGACTTACAAAATGACAACTTCAATACAAATCACAATACAATACAAAATTAAAATCAGTACCAATAAAAAACGATTTAAAATATACAGTGTACCCCCAAACAGATCAGTTTAATGGCGGAAGAGCACATCTTCAGCTCGCGACGGAAGGAAAGAAGGTCGGGGGCTGTCCTGAGCTCAGTGGGCAATCCATTCCAGAGGGTTGGGGCTCCCACAGAGAACGCCCACCCCTTGGGGTCGTCAGCCGACATTGTTTGGCCGACGGCACCCTGAGGAGGCCGACTCTGTGAGAGCGCACAGGACGATGGGAGAACGCTGGAGATGGTCCTGCAAGTACCACCGGGCCTAAGCCATGAAGGGCTTTATAGGTGAGCACCAGCACTTGAAACGTATCCTTGATCCCTCTCCCAAACTAGTCCTAGAAAAGGAGACACAGGTCAGCAAAGCACCATAAGACCCGGCTACATCATGGATGAAGCAATAATACCTTCTCTTGGCTTTGCACTTGAGCTTCCTGTTCCTGTGCAAGAACACATATTCTATTGGCTGTTGTCAGATTCCCACGGGGCATGTAGGGGTCATAGCTGGCTCTGGAGGTTGTCTGAGCTCCCAGATTGGTTGAAGTTTCTGAGGGTGATGCGATGAAGGGGCATTGGGCAATTCCCATTGTGGCTGAGGGCTAATCCTAGCTATGTTGGATCTTGGGTGAGGGTATTTGTTCTGTCCCCGTCCCACACGCACACACACCAACAGACGTTCAGGAGTTAAAGACCAAACCAGCCTGCAAAATCCTTTTCCTTATGATAACGGAACTTGGCAACAACCTAGTGGCTGCCTGCCAAGAGTTTATTACTTACGAAGAGGAGAGATAACTTCTCCCCACTTCTGATACATCAAAAGAAACAGCTCAATAATTACGGAGTCAATCAAGTCCAGAGATAATCCAGCAAAGTCTATAGCAAAAGTCCGGCAATGCAGAATGGCATGGAAGCTTTCAGCTTTGTTCATCACAAGGTTTGACTGGCCACCACGCTCCCTTTTATATCCTGTGGGGTGTGGTCCAGTGACTCAGCCTAATCTCGGGCACGCCTTTTCTTCTGTTGCACGCCTTATCTCTGCGACGCTGGCGTGGATCCAGCCAAGACTCATTACCCTCATCACTGTCCATCTGTGGGTGCGTGGACGTGCCTGGCCCCGGCCCTATCTCTTGCCCTTCGGCAGACACCGAAGGCATTGCCAGAGAGGAGGGTCCTGGAGAGGGAGGCCTTGCCAACTCCTCTCCTTCACTCTCGGAGTCCTCTCCTGCCGATGACACAGGCTCCAGTAACGGAGCCACAACAGTATTTGCTTATGAATAGAGCTATCTATCTCTTAAGGACTGACATCTGCTGAGGGCTATTAAGAAAAGTGGGGGCTGCTTTTTGTCTCCAAGAGCATATTTCTCCCTTTAGGGAAATATAACATTCTGCCTTTTTAATATTTCCTAAAAGATTTCATTCTTCTAGGAGAGGGGTGGGTGCTAACTTTCTACATACACCTTTAAGGAAGAGGTCTCCAAATTTGGCCACTATAAGACTTTGTGGACTTCAACTCCCAGAATTGCTCAGCCAGCATGGGAAATGAAGTCCACAAGTCTTAAAATCTAGGAATCCTGGGAGTTGAAGTCCACAAAGTCTTAAAAGTGGCCAAGGTTGGAGACACCTGTCTTAAAAGTCTCATCCCAAAGGATGTTTGTGTTGTGGCTCTGTCCTCCGAGCCTATCCTATCGGAGGAAGAAGGCTCCGAACATGAAGGAGAGGAGATGGCCAGGCCTCCCTCTCCAGGACCCTCCTCTCTGGCAATGCCTCAGGTGTCTCCTGAAGGAGAAGAGATTGGCCAGGAGCCAGGCATTTCCGAGCCATCGGATAGTGACGAAGAAACGTTGTGGTTGGATCCACGCCAGCGTCGGCGAGACAAGCGTGCGCAGCAGAAAAGGAGGCGTGCCAGAGATTAAGCTGAGTCACTGGACCACACCCCACAGGCTATAAAAGGGAGTGTGGTGGCCATTCGGACTCTGTGACGGACAAAGCTAATTTCTGGCGAGTCACTTTGCACCTTTGGACACAACGCCTATTTGCTGTGGATTTAATTACAAACTGGACTATTCAAACTGTGTGTATTTTTGTCTGTGTTATCGGAGTAAAAGTTCTTGGCAAGCAGCTTATCACTGACGTTGGGTGTTTGAAGAGTTTATTTAACCCTCGGCTGGCTGTTTGGGTGCGTGTGTGAGACGGGGACAGAACAGTTTGTTGTTATTTGCTGGTTGGGACAACAGAGAAAGAGTCCGGTGTGGCTGTCGTTATGAGGATAATAAGTTTGTCTGGTTGAATGCTACAGACCAGGTTATGATGCAGGTTAAGTCAAACGCCATCGCATCCCAACTTGCTGCTTGTTCTTCGCAGACGGACGCTAAAGTGCGCAACTCCGCCATCGTTCTCTTTGCCGAGCTGCCCAATTTGGTGAAGAAGAAGGAGAAATATCTCATCCAGGAGCAAGTCAATCAAAGCCTCGTCCCTCTGTTGCTTCACCTCCAGGACGAGGAACCGGATGTCGTGAAGGTGAGTCGAGTTCAGGAATTGGGTTGGTTTGGTGAAGGTTGCAGGAACTGGGTATGTCTAGTTTAATGAAAAGAAGGACTAGGGAAGACATGATAGCAGCATTCCAATGTTTGAGGGGCTGCCCCAAAGAAGAGGAGGGGGTCCCCCTATTCTCCAAAGCCCCTGAAGGGCAGGACAAGAAGCAACGGATGGAAACTCACCAAGGAGAGAAGCAACCTGGAACTAAGGAGAAACTTCCTAACAGTGAGGACAATTAACCAGCGGAACAGCTGGCCACCAGACGTTGTAGGAGTTGCAGCTGGCACTTTGTCCTTGTTCCCACAGGGCTGCCAGGATGCCCTTCTCAGGTGCTTCCGGTTTCTGGGTTGGTCCCTTCCAAAGAAGATCAGCAGCAAGAAAGCCTGGCACGATCACCCTCTGATCCCAGAGAGCCTCTGCCGCCAAATCGTGAGTCGCGCTTCCTCCTTTGTGGCACCTTGTGCGAATCAACTAAGTCAGGGGGTCTTCAAACTTGGCAGCTTTAAGGCTTGTGGACTTCAACTCCCAGAATTCCTCAGCCAGCAAAACTTTTAAGGCTTGTGGACTTCAACTCCCAGAATTCCTCAGCCGGCTAAACTTTAAGGCTTGTGGACTTCAACTCCCAGAATTCCTCAGTCGGCTAAACTTTAAGGCTTGTGGATTTCAACTCCCAGAATTCCTCAGCCGGCTAAACTTTAAGGCTTGTGGACTTCAACTCCCAGAATTCCTCAGCCAGCTAAACTTTAAGGCTTGTGGACTTCAACTCCCAGAATTCTCCAGCCAGCTAAACTTTAAGGCTTGTGGACTTCAGTTGAAGTCCACAAGTCTTAAAGCTGCCAAGTTTAAAGACCCCTGAACTAAGCGAATCAAGTGGCCATTAAGCAAATAAAAGTTTTATCCATTCCGTTTTTATTTTTTTGCTGAAAACACAAATATGCCTCAGTCCATTCCAACACCGGAGGCTTTTAAGAAGAAACTAGACAGTTCCTTGCCTGAAAAGGGATAGGGTCTCCTGCTCGAGCAGGGGGTTGGGCTAGATGACCTCCAAGGTCCCTTCCCTGTTATTATTCTGATGCCTGTGGTGAGAAAAATGATTGTTTTTCCTTCTCTCTTTGTCCTTCGGCAGTCCTGGAAAGTAAAAACCATCCCTGCCGTCTTGCTCCAATGCCTGGATCATCTTCAATGCCCCCAGGTTTCCATCCGGAGAGCAGCTACCATCTTTATCGGTGAGACTGGGGAATTCTGGGAGTTGAAGTTTTTAACCTGTCTTGAACCGTTCTGACTGGGGAATTCTGGGAGTTGAAGTCTCCTCCTCTTGTACTATTCTAGCTGAGGAATTCTGGGAATTGAAGTCCATCCATCATAAAACATTCTGGCTGGGGAATTCTGGGATTCTAAGTCCACCCGCTTTGAACCAATCTGGTTGGGGAATTCTGGGAGTTGTCCACTCTTCTTGAACCGTTTTGCCTGGGGAATTCTGGGAACTGAAGGCTGAGGAATTCGGGGAGCTGAAGTCTGTCTGTCTTGAACCATTCTGACTAGGGAATTCTGAGATAAATCACTTTTTTCAGTGCCGTTGTAGCTTTGAACAACCACTAAATAAACTGTTGTAAATAGAGGACTAGCTGTATTGTATTGTCTACATTCTCTCTCTCCTTCCTTCCCTCCCTCTCCCGCTCTCTCTCTGTATACACACACACACACACACACACACACACACACACACACACACACACACCAGTAGATAGATAGATAGATAGATAGATAGTTAGATAGATAGATAGATAGATAGATAGATAGATAGATAGATAGATAGATAGATATGGATGGAGAGACAGAGAGATAGATGGATGGATGGATGGATGGATGGATGGATGGATGGATGGATGGAATAGATACCGTAGGTAGGTAGGTAAGTAGACAGACAGATAGATATGGATGGATGGATGGATGGATGCATAGAAAGATAGATAGATAGATAGATAGATAGATAGATAGATAGATAGATAAGATGGATGGATGGATGGATGGATGGATGGATGGACAGAGAGAGAGATGGATGGATGGATGGATGGATGGATGGATACTGTAGGTAGGTAGATAAAGTAGACAGACAGATAGATATGGATGGATGGATGCATAGATAGATAGATAGAGATGGGTGGATGGATGGATGGAGAGACAGAGAGAGAGATGGATGGATGGATGGGATAGGATAGATAGATAGATAGATAGATAGATAGATAGATAGATAGAGATGGGTGGATGGATGGATGGAGAGACAGAAGAGAGATGGATGGATGATGGATGATGGATGGATGGATGGATGGATGGATGATACTGTAGGTAGGTAGATAGATAGACAGACAGATATGGATGGATGGATAGATAGATAGATAGATAGATAGATAGATAGATAGATATGGATGGATAGATACCATAAGTAGGTAGGTAAGTAGACAGACAGACAGATATGGATGGATGGATGGATAGATAGATAGATTAGATAGATAGACAGATACAGAGATAGATAGATAATATACACACACGTATTTGCTGAAGCTGTATTTAAACTAAAGTTGGATATCAGTGATTGCATTTGGGGTTTGGCCCTGAGGTTTGCTTTTCCTGAGGCTCTCCGCTCTCTCTCTGGCCCACTCCAGATTTGGCACATTCGTGAAACATTGTTTTATTGATGCAAAACCAGAGTGTGTGATTGAGAGGCAGTCTCGTCTAGTGGTCCAGGTGCTGCATGAGCACCAAGAGTCAAATATGATTTCGGTCTGCACAGCCCTGATCGGCTTGGTCTTGGCCGCAGCCTGGCCAAGGTGGACCCTGCCAGAAATCTTCCAGCTGTGGCCACAAACATCTGGGCTTCTTATCTGTTCCCTTCTCTGTCCTTTCAGGCTGTGTCGCTCAATCGGCAGATCCTGTGGCCATCACTCAAGAAAACAAGGACTTGATATTCATCTGTAAGTACCAGCTCCTCGTTAAGTGAACCATTGCAGTTGTTAAATGAGTAAGCCGGTTGTTAAGCGAGTCTGGCTTCCCCCGCTGACTTTGCTCGTCGGAAGGTCGCAAAAGGAGATCACGCGACCCCCGGGGACGCTGCGACCGTCATAAATATGAGTCTGTGGCCAAGCGGCCGAATTTGGATCGCAGGATCACAGAGATACCGCACAAAGTGTGAAAAACGGCCCTAAGTCACTTATTTCCGTGACGTCGTAAGTTTGAACGGTCACTAAATGAACCGTCGTAAGTCGTGTCAGGGTTCCAAGGAATAGACCCATAGCAAGCAAGACTCGGAGGCAGGTGGATTCCTCAAAGAATAGCTTTATTGGATAGATCATAATGGCACGGATCTGGTGAAAAACCGACTCTGTTAAAAGAGAACGCTTTCCCTTAACCCCAAACAATCAGTCACATGGTCCAATCATGTTGCTGCTTGGTTGCCAGGCGACATCACTCCTCCTCCTTCAAGCTAGGTGTGAGACTGTCCTTGGTTCCTAAGGGAAAATTTTTTGTTTTGGCTACACAACCCCAGCTATCTCTAATCCCTCCCTCCCTGACCCTCAGTGGACAAAACGGCTTCGGTCAGGCCAGCTTCAGAGTTGACAAGTCGAGGACGGCCTGTCCATTTTTTTCACCTTCTCCGCCCGTTGCGGCTGTGCCCTGACCACCCTGATTTCCTCTCTTCCAGCCCTTTCCAAGCTCCAACACGACCCCGATCCTTCGGTCCGTGTGGCTGCCATGGAAGCCATGCAGATGGTCCAGGATGCCTGCGGGGGGCCCTCCATCGCGCTTCGAAGCCAGACCCACTTCAACCTGGACAGGGAAGAGCGCGTCTTCTCCCAGGGACACTGGGAAGCGCCGGATCCATCCCTGACCCATCGCTGGAATCCATCGTCCCCGGTCTCTCATAGGATCGTGACTGGTTTCGTCAGGAGGCGACAGTCCGGGGCCGCACGCCAAACCTGACCTACCTCCATGGGGAGGATGGTAGAGCACGCCAGGCAGCTGACTCTTCAAGGAGTGGGGGGCTGCAGCAGAACTGATCTAGAAGCCCCCGATCCGAAAGGGATCCCCGCGAGAAAGCCGCCGTTGGATGCGGTCCAGTCCCGCGGTAGTGTCCAGAAGTCCGAGGCAGCCTTTGGCAGGGTGAATTTTGTAGCAACGCCGATCTGGTGAATTTCCACACCGATCAGAGCTGACTCACCCACACTTCTTTGCAGTGTCTGTTTTCTCCTGGCACAACTTTGAGAAACTTACAAGAGCGAAGAACGAATTGGAACGAGAATGAAAACTGTCCCGCCGAGAAGAATCACAATAGTCGATCAAAAGCAGCCAACTCGTATTCGATCCAGGTAGTTCTTGACATACAATTTTCATGTCGTGACAGTTGAAAGTTACAACAGCCCTGACAAAAGTGACTTAGGATCAGTTCTCACACATATCACCGTTGTGGCATTCGTCATGGTCACACAATCAAACGTCTGATGCTGGGCAACTGGCATGTACTTATGACTGTTGCAGCGTCCCAGGGTCACATGATCACCGTTTGTAACCTTCCCAGCCATCTTCCGACGAGCGAAGTCAATGGAGGAAGCCAGATTTGCTTAATGACCACATGATTCACTTAACAACCACAGTGATTCGTTTAACAACGGTGTCAAGAAAAGTCCTAAACTGACCCAAAACTCATTTATTTATTTATTTTTATTTATTTTAATTTGATTTATATGCCGCCCTTCTCCGGAGACTCAGGGCGGCTTACAATGCGTTAAGCAATAGCCTTCATCCTTTTGTATATTTATACAAAGTCAGCTTATTGCCCCCACAAACCGGGTCCTCAATTTACCTACCTTAGAAAGGAAGGAAGGCTGAGTCAACCTTGAGCCTGGGGAGATTCGAACTTACTAATTGCAGACAGCTGGAGTTAAATTACAATGCATTAGTCTGCTGAGTTATCCAGGCTCATTTAATGGCTGTTTTGCTTAGCAATGGAAATTTTTAACTCCGTTGTGGCCGTAGGTCCAGGGCTACCCTGTATTGACAGCCGTTAAGTGAGACAGCCTTGCTTTAACAACTCCCACTCCCCTGCTTTCTTGGCTGCAGCTGTTAAATGAACATGCCAGTTGTTAAGCCAAGTTTTCTGCAGCTCTGTGCCGAAGAGATCCGGCGGCCACGTGGGGCGATTGCAGAATCGGCCGCCATTTTTTCCAGGTGACCGGAAATCAAGGCAGCCGATAGAAATATGGCGTCCACATCTGGAATAACACCAGGTGTCTGCCCTGATTGCAGAGTGCTGCAGAAAACTCCAGACATCTTGAAAAGTCAGTGCATGATGGGTGATGGGGCCTAAGGAAGAGACTTCCCCGGGGGACCCAGGGATGGGGAAGCCTCTGGGACCCCTTGTGGGGGAGGGGGATGGGAGGAGATAGGCAGGGCATCAGCTGCAGTGTGGTCGGTTGTAAGGGCAAATGACCACAGGGGCAATTGCTGCGGTTGTAACTTTGCATCAAGTAGCAGCTAGTCGTTAAGGGAGGACTACCTGGAGTTGCAACGAGAACGAGGGTTTTTTTTTAGCTGTGCTCCAACTTTTGCCTTTCTTTGCTACAGAACGGGGAACCGCTGGATTTTTATTTTTATTTTTTAATTAAAGCAACTGCTGGAATCTGCCGGGGAGCAGACCAAGGAACTTCATGGCAGATGGTAAGATCACCAAAAATAAAAAATAAAAAAAAATCTCTGAAAAATAATAAAATGAGTCATTGCTGCCCTCGTGTGGCCAATCCAGGAGCTGCATTTAGTGGTTAGAAAAGCTACAATTCGTTTATTTCTTCTTTCTTTGCTATGAAATGAATAGTAAATCCCTTCATTCTATTTTCCAGCAAAAGGCCCCAAAATAAGCAATTATAATCTAAATTTGGCCACACAGGAAACAGTTCAACAAATATAATATTGAATGAATGTTACATAATCTCTCTCTGTGTCTATCTATCTATCTGTCTGTCTGTCTGTCTGTCTCTGTCTATCTCTATCTATCTATCTATCTATCTATCTATCTATCTATATCTATCTATCTATCTATCTATCTATCTATCTATCTATCTATTTATATCTATCTATCTATCTATAAGAGCCTTGGTACTACAGGGGTTTAAGGCACCCTGTTATTAAGCTTATTAAGACCAGCTGCCTGCAATTACTGCAGGGTTCGAATCTCGCCAAGGCTCAAGGTTGACTCAGCCTTCCATCCTTTCTAAGGTAGGTGAAATGAGGACCCAGTTTGTGGGGGCAATAAGCTGACTTTGTATAAATATACAAAAGGATGAAGGCTATTGCTGAGCACATTGTAAGCCGCCCTGAGTCTTCGGAGAAGGGCGGCATATAAATCAAATTTATATATATATATATATATATATATATATATATATATATATATATATATATGATTATGGTCTGTCTGTCTGTCTTGTCTATCTATCTATCATCTCTCCTCTGCCTGCCTGCCTGTATATATATGTATATATATATCAATATATGTCTATGTCTATGTATATGTATGTATGTATATGTATATAAAGGTAAACCTAAAGGTTCCCCTCGCACATACGTGCTAGTCATTCCCGACTCTGGGGGCGGTGCTCATCTCTGTTTCAAAGCCAAAGAGCCAGCGCTGTCCGAAGACTTCTCCGTGGTCATGTGACCAGCATGACTCAACGCCAAAGGCGCATGGAACGCTGTTCCCTTCCCACCAAAGGGGGTCCCTGTTTTTCTACCTGCATTTTTTACCTGCTTTCGAACTGCTAGGTTGGCAGAGGCTGGGACGAGTCACGGGAGCTCACTCTATTACGCGGCACCAGGGATTCGAACCGCTGAACTGCCGACCTTTCGATCGACAAGCTCAGTGTCTTAGCCACTGAGCCATTGCGTCCCGCGTATATGTATATATGTGTATGTAAATGTGTGTGTATCTATCTATATATGTATATGTATATTTCTCTCTCTCCTTTTCCTTTTCTCTAGAGGCAGCCTCCTGAAGAACTACAAAACCCTAATATGGGGTAGAAAACCCAGAATAATTTATTCTTGCTTCAGAAGAATACACGATAAATAAAGATTTCAAAAGTATTCACGGATTGCAGCATCTTACATGGGCCTGTGGAAAAAAAATTGCTAGTTTTTTATCATGCTCTTTTGCAGACAGGAATAACTGGCGGATTCCAGTTCGCTCCCCTTTTCTTTATCAAAAATTGAGTTATTCGTTCATTCAGTTTGGAATAAATCAGTTCCATCCTCCAGGTGACTCTCAGTGTTGTGGCTCCGTTACCTGAGCCTGTGTCATCGGCAGGAGAGGACTCCGAGAGTGAAGGAGAGGAGTTGGCAAGGCCTCCCTCTCCAGGACCCTCCTCTCTGGCAATGCCTTCGGTGTCCGCCGAAGGGCAAGAGATAAGGCCAGGGCCAAGCACGTCCACGCAGCCACAGGTAGACAGTGATGAGGGAGATGAGTCTTGGCTGGATCCTCGGCAGCGTCGCAGAGATAAGCGCGTGCAACAGAACAAAAGGCGTGCCAGAGATTAAGCTGAGTCACTGGACCACACCCCACAGGGTATAAAAGGGGGTGAGGTGGCCATTCAGACTCTGTGACGGACAAAACTAACTACTATCGAGTCACATTGCATCTTTGGAAACAACATTATCGGCCTTGGATTTATTTTACGAACTGGACAATTCTTGACTGTGGGTATTTTGTTTATTGAGTAAAGTTCTTGGCAAGCAGCTACTGGGTTGCTGCCAAGCTTCTTATCGGAAGAATTGGTTGTCTGCCAGTTTATTTAACCCCCGGCTGTCTGTTTGTGTGTGTGTGTGAGACGGGGACAGAACACTCAGCAACAGGCAACTTTTAAACATCAATGGAAATAGAAGGAAAAACCAGATGCCAACTTCTGGAATAACTTACTTTGGCTTGGTTCCCAAGATGCATAAATCAGTTGTCCTGTTCTTTTCTTTGATTCAGGTATGATACTTCGGGCAACATTTTAAAGCAGGTAGATTTATTTGTTTTCCAGAGTTTTCCAAAGTGCAGGCTGATGAATGCAAGAACTTGATGGGGTTCTGTGAGATACCGGTAGTAAATAATTTTTAAAGTTCATCCGAACGCAAACCGTTTTCTACCACTGGCACTTTGCCCCTGGCTCAAAATGCCCGGCAATCTCATTTTTAACTAACTACAGGAAGTCCTCGACTTACAACACTTCATTTAGTGACCATTCAAAGTTTCAACATCACAGAAAAAAGTGACTTAGTGCAGTGTCTCCGGGGGGGGGCATGGGGGTGTCACGTGATCCCCTTTTGGGACCTTCGGACAAGCGAAGTCGTTGAGGAAGCCAGATTCGCTTAACGACGGTGTTATTAAGAATTGCAGTTAGTGAATCCCTTGTGACGAGAAAGGTGGTAAAATGGGGAAAAAACTCAGTTAACAGCTGTCTCGCTCAGCAACAGAAATATTGGGCTCCATGGCAGTCGTAATTCAAGGACTACCGCTAATAAACCCCTCTGTGTTTTGAACTCGGCGAATGCGCCTGGCTATTTGCACCTGACAGAACCTCGGTCGTAATGTTGTGGCTGCCCATCTTGTAAAATGAGGCAAAACTCACTTAACAACTGTCTGGCTCAGCAACAAAGTTTGGGCTCCATTGTGGTCGTACGTCGAGGACTGCCTCTATATGTTGGTGTGCGTAAGTGCACGAGAGAGAGAGAGAGAGAGAGAGAGAGAGAGAGAGAGAGAGAGAGAGAGATCTCCAATCTCGTTGTAGAAAAACAGCATCTACCCAAATTTTTAAAGGTTGACTTTTCCATAAACATGTATACACCAGAACTAAACTGTGTTGTTTCTCTATGTCGTGTATGTATGCAGCTATACACATAATTTTGTACTAACTTACTTACTTATCTTGTCATGTTTATGCAGAGTTATATTGGAGGTGGTGACCCTTAGAGATGTATGCAACGAAATTTCATTTTTAATGTATGCCGACTAGTGTACATTCCAAATGACAATAAAGATTCTATTCTATTCTATTCTATTCTATTCTATTCTATTCTATTCTATTCTATTCTATTCTATTCCATTCCATTCCATATTTTCTATTCTATTCTATTTCTATTTCTATTTCTATTTCTATTCTATTCTATTCTATTCTATTCTATTCTATTCTATTTATTCTATTCCATTCCATTCCATTCCATTCCATATTTTCTATTCTATTCTATTTCTATTTCTATTCTATTCTATTCTATTCTATTCTATTCCATTCCATTCCATTCCATTCCCATCCTATTCTTATTTTATTCTTATTCCATATTCCATATTCTCTTTCTCTTTCTCTTTCTCTTATTTCTCTTTCTATTTCTATTTCTATTTCTATTTCTATTTCTATTTCTATTCTATTCTATTCCATTCCATTCCATTCCATTCCATTCCATTCCATTCCCATCCTATTCTTATTCTATTCTTATTCTATTCTTATTCCATATTCTATTTCTATTTCTATTCTATTCCATTCCATTCCATTCCATTCCCATCCTATTCTTATTTTATTCTTATTCCATATTCCATATTCTCTTTCTCTTTCTCTTTCTCTTTCTCTTATTTCTATTTCTTTTTCTTTTTCTATTATTTCTATTTCTATTTCTATTTCTATTTCTATTCTATTTCTATTCTATTCTATTCTATTCTATTCTATTCTATGCTATTCTATTCTATTCTATGCTATTCTATTCTATTCTATTCTATTCCAATCAATAAATATCTCAAACCCTCCTGCCTTCCAACTGGTTTATTGATAGGAAGAGACAGATTGATCAAGTTTACCATTAGGTAAGTTTTTTAAAAATTACTTTACAAAACTTTATAAATGGGTAATTTGAGGCAGGCAATGTCATCCTCTGTGACTTCTTCACAGACCCTGCAATTTTTTTTCTCTCTCCACACTCCTCGGAACATAGACCTTCCCCAAGTCCTGAGTTCGAGACTCGACACAGTTTCCCTTGCCGACCGAAAGGCCCGTGAGGAGTACCGTGGCTCCTTCTCCTTCAAATCATGGACACCCGGTTCTTGATGTACATGTGGTAAGGATCGCTGGGTTTATCCACCTCTCGGGATCGGGTGTAGCTCAGGATCAGGCTGCCCACCGTCAGGGCGAACAGGAGCATAATGAAAACGATGTACATGTAAGCGTAGGTGTCTTTTCCCTCCCGGTCGGCCTTGCCCAGCTGGGGACACGGCTCCACGCGTGAGAGGGTACCGTTGAAGAGCCTCAACATCAAGTCCAGCTTCTGGAACCAGGGCTCGGTGTGGTTAGAGGCCATCCTGGTCTTGGGCCAACGCTGGTGGAACAAAAGAGAAAGAAATTCAGAATATCAACCGTCCTCTCCAGAGAACAGAACTGATTTCCCTGATGAGAATTTGGGGAGGAAGGATCCATCTCTCCCTCTACAGTGACCTGTATATGGATCAGATCAGAAGTCTCCTCTAGGGCAGGGGTCTCCAACCGTGACAACTTTAAGCCTAGTGGACTTCAACTCCCAGAATTCCCCAGCCTTCTGGGAGTTGAAGTCTGCCAGGCTTAAAGTTGCCAAGATTGGAGACCCATCCTCTAAGGTGCCCCACCCCACAAAAGTCTGACCAACTTCCTCCTTTGTGATTCTCAGAGGATTTGTTTGTTTGTTTGTTTGTTTTTGCAAACATTTTTATGGTATTAAGCTATTAAGTCTTATAAAATACAAAAGTAAATGAACGGAGCAATGAGGAGGGAAGGGAAAAGGAGAAAGAGAAGTGAAGAAAAGAAAAAAGAAGCATTGACTTCCGACTCTCTCTCTTACCCATAAAATAAGACATGAACATCAAATCACAGCTTTTTGTTTTTCCATAATAATATTTGCCAGAGAGATCTTTGTGCAGCCATGCTTGGTTTCTTCTTGGATTTCTTGTTTTTCTTTCTCAGTGGTATTGCGCTAGACTGGGCTTTTATGATCATATTTTTTTCAGAGTTTCCCAAGATTCTTGAGTTGTTTTCCCCTTTAGGATTTTTATCCAAGGAATCTTTCTCTCTGAGTTTATTAAAATAAGCTCTTTTACAATCTAAGACTCTGGTATCATTATGTTCTATTCAGTCTTGGGATTCAAGATTTTTTACTACCGGTTCTGTGGTTGAGGCTTGGTGGGCGTGGCATGGCTTGGTGGGCGTGGCTTGGTGGCAGGGGTGAAATCTACTTACCTTCCTTACCGGTTCGGAAGTGCACACGCCATGTCACGTCACATCATGTGCGTGCATGCACAGAAGGTAAAAAAAACATTACTTCCTGGTTAAAACCAGGAAGTAATGACAACCAGGCGGCGATCTCTACTGGATCAGGCAATCCAGTCCGATCCGGGAGCATTTCACCCCTGCTTGGTGGGTGTGGCAGGGGAAGGATACTGCAGAATCTCCATTCCCACCCCACTCCAGGGGAAGGTTACTGCAAAATCCCCATTTCCTCCCGCTCAGTTGGGACTCGGGAGGCAGATGGGGGCGGGGCCAGTCAGAATTTTTACTACCTTTTTTTTTTTAATTTGATTTATATGCCGCCCTTCTCCGGAGACTCAGGGCGGCTTACAATGCATTAAGCAATAGCCTTCATCCTTTTGTATATTTTATACAAAGTCAGCTTATTGCCCCCACAAACTGGGTCCTCAATTTACCTACCTTAGAAAGGATGGAAGGCTGAGTCGACCCTGAGCCTGGCGAGATTCGAACTTACTAATTGCAGACAGCTGGAGTTAAATTACAATGCATTAGTCTGCTGAGCTATCCAGGTTCTCTGAACTGCTCAAAAATTGTTGAATTCTAGTATGACTTGGTCACTCTCACCCAAGGTTCCTGCAGTTTCAACTCCCTCTATCACTTCTTCTCTGTTTGTAAGAATTAAGCACAGTATGGCTGCCCCTCTAGTTCCTTCCTCTACCTTTGGGACAACAAAGTTGTCAGCTAAGTTGGCCAGGAACCTATTTGATTTCTCACTTCGTGCAGAATTAGCCTTCCAATTGATGTCGGGGCAATTGAAGAACCCTCATTAGTATTGTGGTGTGTTTCCTACATATATCTCTGTTCGCTGGTTAGCAAAAAGCACATCTATTTTTTCTGCTTGATTGGGCGGCCTATTTTATACCCCTATGGCCACGTCGTTCTTTTTTTCTTTTATGTTTTATACGAACCAGTCATTTCTGTAAAGACCTATCAATCTAATAATCTATAAAACCCAAAGTTACATTCTTTTCCACCTCGAGCACGAAATTCAGAAACGGTTTCCATGTGGACGTGATTCTCTGAGGGTTTTTAAATGCAGGGAGTCCTCGACTTACGGCGACATTGGAACCCACAATTTGTTGAGCCCACAAGATGTGGAGACTCTAGAAAGAGTGCAGAGAAGAGCCACAAAGAGGATGAGGGGACCGGAGGCTAAAACATACGAAGAACGGTTGCAGGAAGTGGGTTTGTCTAGCTTAATGAAAAGAAGGATTAGGGATGATGTAATAGCAATATTCCAATATTTGGGGGGCTGCCCCAAAGAAGGGGGGCAACCTATTCTTAAAGCACCTGAAGGCAGGACAAGAAGCAATGGGTGGAAACTCATCAAGGAGAGAAGCAACCTTGGAGCTAAGGAGAAATTTCCTGACAGTCAGAACAATTAATCCGTGGAACTACTTGCCACCAGAAGTTGCAAATGCTCCAACACTGGAAGTTTTTAAGAAGAGGTTGGATAGCCATTTGTCCGAAGTGGTGTAGGGTTTCCTGCCTGGGCAGGGGGTTGGACTAGAAGACCTCCAAGATCCCTTCCCAACTCTGTGATTCTCTTCTCTTCTATTCCTAATTCTATTCTATTCTATTCTATTCTATTCTATTCTATTCTATTCTATATTTCCATCTCTAAGCGGGACAGCTATTAAGTGAGTTTGGCCCCATTTTACGACCTTTCTTGCCACAGCGGCTAAGTGAATCACTGCCGTTGTTAAGTGAGTCACACGGTTGTTAAGTGAGTCCGGCTTCCTCCATTGACTTGGCTTTTCGGAAGGTCGCAAAAGGGGATCACATGACCCCAGGACAATGCAACCTTCACAAGTACATGCCAGTTTCCAAGCGTCTAGATTTTGATCACATGATCGTGGGGATGCAGCAGCGGTCGTAAGTGTGAAAAACAATCCTAAGTCACTTTTTTCAGTGCGGTTTAGTGACTTTGAACGGTCACTAAAAGAATGGTTGTAAGTTGAGGATTACCCGTACTATTTTATTGCACTGGATTTTCAAACTTCAAATAAAAGCAAAATTTTATTAGTGTACTCATTGATGGAGAAGGCTTGATTATTGCTGATTTATTGTTATTATTGTTTTTATGCCTTTGTTTTTTTTTGGGCATGGGTGCGATAAGGATTTTGTTGTGAGTTTTTAGAATAAAACTGGCTCTATAAATACCCAATTAATCAAATTTTAAAGAAAACTTCCAGGTCATTTGTGATCCTCTTTTTAACTGAATTCGTTTATTTATTTTCCAATATTGTTATCCGACTGGGGAGACTGCTAGCAGTGTACAATAGAGGCAAGCGATAAAACAAAAACATGAATTGACATTGCGATAAAACAGAAGAACAGAAAAACAGTGTTGGAAGGGACCTTGGAGGTCTTCTAGTCTAACCCCCTGCTCTGGCAGGAAATCCTACACCACTTCGGACAAATGGTTATCCAACCTCTTCTTAAAAACCTCCAGTGTTGGAGCATCCACAACTTCTTGTGGCAAGCTGTTCCACAGGTTAATTGTTCTCACTGTTAGGAAATTTCTTAGTTCTAAGTTGCTTCTCTCCTTGATTAGTTTCCATCCTTTCCTTCTTGTCCTGCCCTCAGGTGCTTTGGAGAATAGCTTGACTCCCTCTTCTTTGGGGCATCCCCTGAGATATTGGAAGGCTGCTATCATGTCTCCCCTAGTCCTTCTCTTCATTAAACTAGACATATTTATTTATTTATTTTTATTATTCGTATTTCTATGCCGCCCACTCTCCGAGGACTCTGGGGGGCTTACACCAAAGACAGTATATACTAACTAGCATATTGCCCCCCAACAATCTGGGTCCTCATTTTACTCACCTCGGAAGGATAAAAGGCTGAGTCAACCTTGAGCCTTTGGTGAGATTTGATCCGCTGATCTGCTGAACTAGCAGTCAGCTGAAGTAGCTGCAGTACTGCACCCTAACCACTGCGCCACTTCGGCTCCCTAATATATACATACCCAGTTCCTCATATGTTCTTCATATGTTTTAGCCTCCAGTCCCCTAATCATCTTTGCTGCTCTTCTCTGCACTCTTTCCAGAGTCTCAACATCGCCACGGTGGCGCGGTGGTTAGAGTGCAGTACTGCAAGGCTAATTCTGCTGACTGCCGGCTGCCTGCAATTTGGCAGTTCGAATCTCACCAGGCTCAAGGTTAACTCAGCCTTCCTTCCTTCCCAGGTGGGTAAAAAGAGGACCCAGATTGTTGGAAGGCAAGAGGCTGATTCTGTAAACCGCTTAGAGAGGGCTGTAAAAGCACTATAAAGTGGCATATAAGTCTAAGTGCTGTTGCTATTTCTATCTTTTTTTACATCGTGGGGACCAAAACTGGACGCAGTATTCCAGGTGTGGTCTTCATGTGGTATGGTCACCCACTCCACCCCTGTTACAGGTAATTCTCGAAATATTCAAAATATCTTATATTCGATCCTATCTTGTTCCTGCCTTCTGCAATGGCCGATCCTTTTTCTTTTTTTCCTAACCTCAAGATTGTCCATCTTTCTTCTTTAAAAAAAAAATTAAAAAAAAAACTCCAGTGATGTAGCACCCACAACTTCTGGTGGCAAGCTGTTCCATTGATTAATTGTTCTCCCTGTCAGGGAATTTCTCCTTAGTTCCAGGTTTTGTTTCGCTGCAGATCCGGTTCCTGTTGAACTTTTTGCCCTCTTTTCCAATAATCTTAGTAACCTGAGAGGTGATAACAGCCATACCTGGCCTCCAGGTGTGTGTTTGGAGAACCTGCCCCATCCTGCTGGGCATTACAGGTTTTAAGGGTGCCGTTTTTCCCCCTCTTAGGATCTGTTTCTCAAAGTTGGGTTTGTTTTAAATCGCGGCCAAAAATATTTAATCATTTTAAACTGTTTTTAAATTTTGTAAGTTCTGTTTTTTATTTCGGCTGTTCACCACCCTGAGTCCTATTGGAGAAGGGCGGTATATAAATTGAAACAAACAAACAAATAAATAAATAAATAAATAAAGTTGGCCTCTTTTTTGTTAAACTGCACCTCTAGCGAACCATTTATTTGCTTAACAACTGCCACATTCACTTAATGACTGTTGTTTACAAAAATTGTTGTAAAATCAGGTAGATCATGTGACTTGAGAAGCCCTGGTTAACTTGAAGAGCCCTGGTAGCACAGCAGACTAAAGCACTATTATTAACATCAGCTGCCTGCAATTACTGCAAGTTCTAATCTCGCCAAGGCTCAAGGTTGACTCAACCTTCCATCCTTTCTAAGGTAGGTGAATTGAGGACCCAGTTTGTGGGGGGCAATAAACTGACTTTGTATAAAATATATTTTATAAAATATGAAGGCTATTGCTTAACGCCTTGTAAGCCGCCCTGAGTCTCCGGAGAAGGGTGGCATATAAATCAAAAATTTTTTTAAAAAAAAACTTACCCATTTTATGACTATAATGGGCAGGCTCCATGACCGTCGTATGTCAAGGACTACCTGTCTCTCTCTGCTACTCTTGAGATCCAGAGAAATTTTCCTGACTTTGGTCGATGTGAGAAGGAGGCATAAGGTGTGAGAAGGAGAGACGATCATTTGAATGGGAGCCAGCCGTGTGCGGCAGCTGCCCAAAAAAGCTAATTTAATCCTAGACTGCATTACTAGAGGGACAGAATCGAGATAATGCGAAGTTCTAGTACTGCTTTACAAAGCCTTAGTAAGGCCACACTTGGAATATTGCATCCAGTTTTGGTGGCCATGATGTAAAAAAGATGTGGAGACTCTAGAAAAAGTGCAGAGAAGAGCAACAAAGAGGATTAGAGGATTGGAGGCTAAAACATATAAAGAACGGTTGCAGGAACTGGGCATGTCTGGTTTAATGAAAAGAAGAATTAGGGATGATATGATAGCAGTCTTCCGGTAATTGAGAGGCTGCCACAAAGAAGAGGGGGGTCAAGGCACAGAGCCTTGATAGTACAGTGGTCTACGCACCCTGTTATTAAGACCAGCTGCCTGCAATTACTGCTGGTTCGAATCTCTCCAAGGCTCAAGGTTGACTCAGCCTTCCATCCTTTCTAAGGTAGGTGAAATGAGGACCCAGTTTGTGGGGGCAATAAGCTGACTTTGTATAAATATACAAAAGGATGAAGGCTATTGCTTAACGCATTGTAAGCCGCCCTGAGTCTCCGGAGAAGGGCAGCATATAAATCAAATTAAATTAAAATTATTCTCCAAAGCACCTGAAGGCAGGACAAGAAGCAACGGATGGAAACTCATCAAGGAGAGAAGCAACCTGGAACTAGGGAGAAACTTCCTGACAGTGAGAACAATTAATCAGTGGAACAGCTTGCCACCAGAAGTTGTGGATGCTCCAACACTGGAAGTTTTTAAGAAGAGATTGGACAACCATTTGTCTGGAATAGCATACGGTCTCCTGCTTGAGTAGGGGGTAGGACTAGAAGACCTCCAAGGTCCCTTCCGACACTGTCATTCGGTTATTCTGTTAAGAAAGACAAACACACAGAAAAAAAAAATATTTTTTTTCTCCTCTAAGAGAAAATCAGCCTTAAAATATTATAATCCATGCCGTTCTGGGACCAGGCAGGTTGCTATGAACCTGTTCGGTGGGAACACTTAAGGTCCCTGCCAGCAACAGAACAAAAGCTGATTGATCGCCTGGCATAAATTTGCACACCTGGGCGGGATCGGTCACACCGACACAACAGGGTAACCATTCCGTCAAACCGAAGTCCCGTTGCATTCAAAGGGACTTACTCTTTGTAGGCTAAAATTAGAAGGAGCCTTGGTGGAGCAGCAGACTAAAGTGCTGTTAAGTAGCATCAGCTGCCTGCAATTACTGCAAGTTCAAATCTCACCAGGCTCAAGGTTGACTCAGCCTTCCATCTTTTCGAGGTAGGTAAAATGAGGACCCGGATTGTGGGGGCAATAAGCTGACTTTGTATAAGAAAGATCACTGCTTGGGGGAGGGGGCGAAAGCCCTACTAAGCAGGTATATACAAAAGGATGAAGGCTATTGCTTAACGCATTGTAAGCCGCCCTGAGTCTCCGGAGAAGGGCAGCATATAAATTGAACCAAAAATAAATAAATAAGTAAATAAATAAATAAATAAAATGCTCAAGACGAGCGTCTCTTGAATCGCAAGATGCAATTAACCTAACCATTTTTTTAAATTTCCCGAATAGCAAAGTCTCGATTAAGTTCTTATTACAAAAATGAAAAACTAGTCCGACCAGTTTCAGATCTCAAGTTTCACTTCTCCTGACCACTTCCTGATGCTTGCAAGAATCAAGGGCTCTTTTATGCAATTCAACACCAAAACACACATAATTTTCTGTCTTCCCTCAACAACGGCAGTGATTTGCTTAACAATAACAACAAAAAAAAAATAAGACCACGAAATCAGCACGACTCACTCAGCAACCGCCTCGCTTAGCAACGGAAACGCCGGTCCCGACTGGGGTCGTATGTCGAGGACTGTCTGTACTGCTCCTCACCGAAAGGACGGGTGCGAAGATTGTCTCTACGGTACGCGAAGCCCAAAGCAGAACCTGCTTGGCAGCCCTGCACAAAATGAAAAGCAGAAACGGTGGAGGGAGCCTTTTTATCTTCCAGACAAACCGAGATCCGCCCTCCTAGCAATCTTCTATTTTGGTTGAATGCCCTGGAAGACGGGATCATGGGATCACCCGATGCCTTCTCCTGGCACGCTTCTGACTCTTCATAAAAGGGTTCGTCGGTTCTGCCAGACTCCGCCTGATTTCTGGCTAGTCTTGGCGAACACACAACTCTCCAACTACAAATAGTTGCAAGTCTTGAGTATCTCAGAACAACAGAGAGGTGGAAGGGACTTTGAAGGACTTCTAATCCAACCCACCTTTGCCCAAGAAGACAAGTGGCTGTCCGATCTCTTCTTAAAAGCCTCCAGTGATGGAGCACCCACAATGTCTGGAGTTAAGTCATTCCACTTATTTAACAAATTAACAGAATGGAAAGGGACCTTGTAGGTCATCTAGTCCAACCCCCCCTACACCATCTAGACCCTACACCATATCTGACAGAAAAGGGGCATGCATAAGCGCACCAACGTGCCTACCGTCCCTATCCTAATGTCCTCTTTTATTCCTATCCACTTCATATATTCATAATCATGTTTATACTTATACTGCCCAAGGAGCTGCTGATCCAGTTCTACAGAGGAATGATGGAGTCTGTCATCTGCACCTCCATAACTGTCTGGTTTGGCTCTGCAACCCAACAAGACAGACACAGACTTCAGAGGATCATTAGAACGGCAGAAAAAACAATTGCTACCAGCCTGCCTTCCATGGAGGACCTGTCTACTGCACGAGTCAAAAAGAGGGCTGTGAAAATATTTACAGACCCCTCGCATCCTGGACATAAACTGTTTCAACTCCTATCCTCAAAACGACGCTATAGAGCACTGCGCACCAGAACAACTAGACACAAGGACAGTTTTTCCCCCGAACGCCATCACTCTGCTAAACAAATAATTCCCTCAACGCTGTCAAACTATTTACCAAGTCTGCACTACTATTAATCTTCTCATCGTTCCCACCACCCATCTCCTTCCACTTACGACTGTATGACTGTAACTTTGTTCCTTGCATCCTTACAATTTATATTGATATTGTTTCCTGATTGTTTATTTGTTCCTTATGACTATCATTGTGTTCTACCTTATGATTATTGATGAATGTATCTTTTCTTTTTATGTACACTGAGAGCTTATGCACCAAAGACAAATTCCTTGTGTGTCCAAACACACTTGGCCAATAAAGAATTCTATTCTATCTGTTATCTAACACACACTTGACAAAAAAAAAAAGATGGCAGTCGAATCTCTTCTTGAAAGCCTCCAGTGATGAAGCTCCCACAACTTCCGAAGGCAACTTCTCTTCCATAGGTTGATTGCTCTCACTGTCAGGAAATTCCTCCTTATTTCTAGGTTGAATCTCTCCTTGATAAATAACAGAATGACAGAGTTGGAAGGGACCTTGGAGGTCTTCTAGTCCAACCTCCTGCTCAAGCAGGAAACCCTACACCCGTCATGGCAAACCTATGGCACACGTGCCCGAGGTGGCACGCAGAGCCATCTTTCCAGCCACGCAACCTGTAGCCCAACTCACCTGCAGCTGCACGCTCCCCAACTAATGTTCGGGCCTCTGGTGCACATGCGTGCAATTCAGGGGACCCAGCTGGTCTTCAGAGCTCTCATGTGCATGTGTGAGCGTTTGCACATGCACGCAAGAGTACTTGCTTGCAATGTGCGCAGGCGTAGATGACGTTCATGTGCGGGCATTGCATGCGTGAAAACTGTGTGCGTGCACAGATGGTACAGTAGCTCGTGTAGCGCATGGGTAGCATGAGCACACGCGAAGCACGCAAAGCTCGTATCTGTTCGGAACTCAGTGAGTAAATGGTTTGCCACCACTGCTCTATACCATTTCAGACAAATAGTTGTCCAATGTTTTCTTAAAAGCCTCCAGTGATGGAGCAACCACAACTTCTGGTGGCAAGCTGTTCCACTAATTAATTGTTCTCACTGTCAGGAAGTTTCTCCCTAATTCCAGATTGCTTCTCTCCTTGATTAGCTTCCATCCGTTCCTTCTTGTCTTGCCTTGCCTTCAGGTGTTTTGGAGAATAGGTTGACCCCCTCTTCTTTGGGCAGCCCCTGAGATATTTTAAGATGCTATCATGTCCCCCCTAGTCCTTCTTTTCACTAAGCTAGACATGCCCAGTTCCTGCAACCATTCATTGCAGGTTTTATCCTGCAGTCCCCTAATCCTCTTTGTTGCTCTTCTCTGCACTCTTTCCAGAGTCTCAACATCTTTTTTTACATCGTGGTGACCAAAACTGGATGAAATATTCTAATAATCTCCTTCACTCGGATATCCAACCAAGAAATTAACATTGATTGCAAAATCACTGATTTTGCAGGAATTAAATTTTGGGAGAATAGCTTGCCTGGAAAGACCGTTGCCCATCCCTCCTGCAGGGGGAAAAAAGCTCAAGGTGAAGTCATGTGGATGTGATGTTTTTCTGCAGCAACACCCAAATTGACTATGTTTTCAAAATCAAAATCAAAATCAAACTTTACACAAAAGTGTGTAAAGTTATCTCAGATAACTTTACACACAGCCAACTAGAGCTAAGCGAGGAGAGCAAAAATGTTAGCCTGTGGGCTGAGAAAGGACATTTTGATCTGAATTAGCCATAGAAATTAACACTCCAAATATTACAGGTGATTACAGGGCTATCAATAATTTTAAATTGGGGTATTTTAAATTTTTGGGGTTTTAAATCGGCCAAATCTATTTAATTATTTTAATTTTTAATCATTGTTGTGTCCTGTGTTTTTAAATAGGCTGTACACCACCCTGAGTTCTTCGGGAGAAGGGTGGTATAGAAATAAAATTATTATTATTATTATTATTATTATTATTATTATTATTATTATTATTATTATTATTATTATTATTATTATTATTATGGACCTACAAGTAACCCTCCACTTACAACTTGCTTAATAGGGTTTAGAAATTGCAACGGGCCTGAATTGTGATCTGCCCTTGAAGTTACGACCGTTGCTAGCACTCCTGCAGTCCCGTTATCGGGATTTAGGAGCACGGCAACCGAATCATAGAAATCACAGGGCGGGAAGGGACCTTGGAGGTCTTCTAGTCCAACCCCCTGCGCATGGCAGATCAACATTGCTGGCTCACATTTGTGACAGTTGTGGTGTTGTTTCCTCCATAATCAGTCAGTTCCAATTTTTAATGTGTGCTCTTGGCTATGTAATTAGCCAATCCTTTTCTTTTTCGACAGTGTGTTTTACTTGAAGTAAATTCTGCCTCTACTTCACGACGGGGATGAAACGCATCTTGAATACTGGTAGTCCACAATCTTTGAGCCCAAATTGGCCATTCGGCATTTTAATGTCATTCCTGTTTGTCATTTTCCCTTGATTAATTTTCACTGTAAGCACATTTCCTAGGCCAATTTCCATTGCTGTATACCTGTGCTACAAATTCTCACAGGGTTTCTGAGCGATTTCAATTTCTTTTCTTTTTTCTTTTTTTTTTTTTGTATATGATTTATTTGCAATTTTTCTTTAACCACCAACATTTTTTTTTTTTTTTGTGGACAGTGTAATGACTGGGTTAACATATTTTTCACACAGTTCTCACAGAAATAATACAATTACATATACAGGAGCAGGGTGGATAAAAATCAATGATTTTTTTTAAAGAAATCAAAAAATCAAATTTTTTTGATTTAAATCGGATTTTTTTTTATTTTTATCGAATTTATTTTAATAAAAATCTTTTGGGGTAAAAATCTATCGTAAGATAGTTTTCTATTTAAGATACATAAATAATTGAGTTTATTTAGCCTGAAATGGAGCTTAGTTCTGTAGCAGGAGGCTGTATATTCTGCAACCCTGGGACTATCGGTGAGTCAACGGTGGGTCAGAGGAGTAGCAGAGATGACAGTTGCTCTTTAAAAATTATGATTTAAATCGAGTTGATTTAAATCAAGCCTTTTTACTAGTGATTTAAATCATGATTTAAATTGTGATTTAAATCAACTCGATTTAAATCAAATCCACCCTGTACAGGAGCGATTTCAATTTCTGATTTTCCATAAATCTTCAGATCGTCCATATAAAGCAAATGGGGAGATTTTATTAATATTTTAAAAAATCTCTGATACCAAATCCCAAAAGGTGCTTTTTCAGGAGGCTACTGGACTTTCTGGTTTTTTCGTCAACGATGTTTTGCTTCTCCTCCAAGAAGCTTCTTCAGCTCTCATAAGGATGGTGGGGAATGGAAGGATTTATATTCCTTGCAGGCAGCTGGTTAGTTGCATCCTTTCAGAGGGTCGTTGAGGCCACCTGGAGGTTTATCTGTGTCCTCAGGGTCACCCGAGTAGTGCAAATGGTTCCTGTAGTCTGCAATTTTTTTTCTGGAAATCCATTCCTACTCCCACATCCTTCAAAGGATGTTCCCACTATCCTGTCAGAGCTGAAGAAGCTTCTTGGATGAGAAGTGAAACATCTTCAAAGAAAGAAAAAACAAGAAAGTCCAGTTGCCTCTTTAAAAAAAAAAGCAGTTTTGGGATAACCAGGATCTGGATGAGTGAGAATCTCTACAGAATCTGATAACCAAGAGTTGTTTTCTGCAAAATCACTGAAGCAAGGCAATAAAAAACAGTAAGGGTGATTTCTCTCCTAATCTTGACAAGCCCATATTTTTCACTTCCAACCACCCATTCTGATTTCCACCGCTTCGCTATTTTTCCTACAAACATACTCATGTTTTTAATGACACCGGTTTGTTTCCAAACATCGGATGGTCCATCTATGGAGTAATGAATCAAATGTCTTTCTTTTTTTCTATTGTTTTAGCTCACATGCTGTTCCATTTTGGAAGACTCAAAGCAGATTACCTCGAGACAAAATGTTCTCGATAACATTGAGAATACACAATACACACACACACACATATACACAATGCGCTGTCACTTGGGAGCAACCAAACATCCATGGATACGGGGGCGTGGGGGCAGAAGGACCAATGAAATCATAAACATGACACAACTTGAGATGAAATTCACAGAACATGGAATAACAGAGTCGGAAGGGACCTTAGAGGTCTTCTAGTCCAACCCCCTGCTCAGATAAGCGATCCTATATCATTT